CAGAGTCACGGAACGAATTAAGTTTGTAAACCGAGGTTCCACTGTATTTCATTAGTTTTCTCTCATTTCTGAAAATCAGGGTAGGGGCTACACAAACTTCCAGGGGCAAAGTGTTCAGTAGAGGGGGTGCAACCACATCAAGGGTTTGTTGACTTATTCATGCCCATGAACCTCTCAAGGGGATAGGACTTTCAATACGCCCTCTTTAGATGACCTGACTGGACAGGCAGGTTGAATTCTAGCAAGGTGCTGCCTGATGTATCCCAATGTCATGTCTTGTAGGGCTTTAAAGCATTTTGAACTGGCACCAGAAGTCTACTGATGTCAGTCCTATAAGGTAGACCAAATTAAGAAATATACCATGTGAGCCTAAAGTTACTTTTATTAGATCAGCTATAGTAACACAATCTTTCAAATCTGAATATGCTTTCCCTCCTTCCCCTTGTAAATTTGGGGGGGGGGGCTGACTGAGGCATTTTCATAAATCTCTTTCTTTGTACGGCTCAAGCCACATTTATCTAGTCATCGCCTTAGATCTTCCCTCTGTCTATCAAGGCCATCCTCTATACTCTCTACAACTGGTAATCAGTACAGCAACTTTAAGTTCAATGTCACTCTGCACTAATGAGATTGCCAGGTCAATAATCTAGCCACCACATTTTGTACCAGCTGCAACTTCTGGATAATGTCCAAAGGCAATCCCATATAGATGGTTGCAGTAGTTTAACCAAGCGGTGATCAGGATATGAGTTCCTGTCATCAGGCCACACCAGGTAACTTCATGACCGGCACACCAACTGCCCTCCATTCACAGTTTCCACCTGCTATTTCAGCAGAGAGTCAAGGAAAATACAAAGTCACAAAGCACCTCATTTGGGGAGAGTGTGATTCCAATCCAGAAGATAGATGTGGTCAGATTTCCAGATATTTATTGATGAGTAGCAACTCTGTCTTCATAGGATTTAATCTGAATTTGTTTCACACCATCCATATCCTAACAGCCTCCAAGTACTGGTTCAGGACCTCCATGGCACCTCTGGCTCAGCCCAGGGTGGCGATCTT